CCTTGGTGGGACAGGGCCCTTCCCATTCTGCTCTGTGCCTGACCATGCCATTGATCTTTGTTCCCACAGAGGAGATTTCCGACCTCACGGAGCAGATTGCGGAGGGAGGAAAGGCCATTCATGAGCTGGAGAAAGTGAAGAAGCAGATTGAGCAGGAGAAATCTGAAATCCAGGCTGCACTGGAGGAAGCTGAGGTACATGACCATAGTCATTGGTGTCTTCATTAAACAAATGAGGAAATAGGGTGGAAAGGGCCTGGGTTGTCCTCTCTTCTGGCTGGGGAGTGCAGACAGCTGAGATCTCTGGAAATTTTTTGTCATTCCTTAAAATGAAGCAGTAGGTTTATTGATGTTATCAATGTTTGTGTCCTCTTTTCTAGGCCTCCCTGGAACATGAGGAGGGGAAGATCCTGCGCCTGCAGCTTGAGCTCAACCAGGTGAAGGCTGAGATTGACAGGAAGATAGCAGAGAAGGACGAGGAGATTGACCAGCTGAAGAGAAACCACCTGCGAGTTGTGGAGTCCTTGCAGAGCAGCTTGGATGCTGAGATCAGGAGCAGGAATGAAGCCCTGAGACTGAAGAAGAAGATGGAGGGAGACCTGAATGAAATGGAGATCCAACTGAGTCATGCTAACCGTGTGGCTGCAGAGGCACAGAAGAATCTGAGAAATACACAGGGAGTGCTCAAGGTTCATTCAGCAAAGCTACAGAAAGATAAAAATGAGATGCCTAATATTATTGCCACTCAAGTGCACACTTACACATTGTAATTTCTTTTCTCTTTCTTTCCAGGACACACAGATCCATCTGGATGATGCTCTCAGGACACAGGATGACCTGAAGGAGCAGGTGGCCATGGTGGAGCGCAGAGCAAACTTGCTGCAGGCTGAAATTGAGGAGCTCCGGGCAGCCCTGGAGCAGACGGAGCGGTCGAGGAAATTGGCTGAGCAGGAGCTTCTGGATGCCACAGAACGTGTGCAGCTCCTGCACACCCAGGTCAGGGAACAAAGAGCTGTGTTGACATTGACCAAACACAGAGGGCTAGAATTTACCAGAGAACCAGCAGTACTAGAAAGTCCTTACAGCTCCTCTCCCCAAGGAGAGGCATGTTTTACATCTCTTTGCCAAGCCCATGCCTCATATTTTGTAAACAACCATTGTAACAATAATTCCAGAGTAAGAATTGGAATCTGGAAGGGAAAAGTGTTTGTTCAGGAGAAAGTTCATTATGGCAGGTTTTAGAATTCAACTCCTGCCATGTTCTTCCCATTGCACAGAACACCAGCCTGATCAACACCAAGAAGAAGCTGGAAACAGACATTGCCCAGATCCAGGGTGAAATGGAGGATACCATCCAGGAAGCCCGCAATGCTGAGGAGAAGGCCAAGAAGGCCATCACAGATGTGAGTTNGAGCAGATCGACAACCTGCAACGCGTGAAGCAGAAGCTGGAGAAGGAGAAGAGTGAGATGAAGATGGAGATTGATGACTTGGCCAGCAACATAGAGTCTGTGTCTAAAGCCAAGGTACACAATTATGTTTATTAGGAATTTGATGTGGTATTTTTTCTTTAATCATATATGACTTAATTTTTATCAGGTTGTTATGTAAATGGTTTCTCCAAATCTCATGTAGAAGTGTGGGTGCATGTATAGTCCCAAGATGTCAACTGCATCTTCTGCACATATTTTCCTGCTAAAAGAAGGCAGGATCAAGGTATTTACTCTTTTCTTTTTTTTTTTTTTAATGTACAATTGATATCTAGGCAAATCTGGAGAAGATGTGCCGCACTCTGGAAGACCAGCTGAGCGAGTATAAAACAAAGGAGGAGCAGAATCAGCGTATGATTAGTGATCTTAGTGCTCAAAGAGCTCGTCTGCAGACAGAATCTGGTACAGCCCTTCTGTCTGTAATTTGGAAATGGAGAACCCCATAAATTGCTCTCTTGGCTCTTAAAATTTTGTCTCAATTGCAAATTTTTTCAGGTGAATATGGACGCCAGGTGGAAGAAAAAGATGCTTTAATTTCTCAGCTGTCTAGAGGAAAACAGGCTTTCACCCAGCAGATTGAAGAACTGAAGCGGCAGCTAGAGGAGGAGGTCAAGGTGAAGATATTCACATTACATATGAAATAAATATTTGACATAATATTGGTTTTTGGGAAATGTTCAAAGCTTCCAAATGTGATTCAATTAAAAGTTCAAACCGTTCCTTTAGAAGATGCAATCCAGGCCCTTGCAGTGCAGGCCTCCCATGTTTTTATGAGGCAGTCAGTTAATCTCTATCTCTTTGGGACCTTTATCAGTGTATAAGTACCAGTGAGAGAAATTTCCCAGGAAACACCTACTCCTCATCGCCATATTTTTACCACCAGGCAAAGAACGCCCTGGCCCACGCCCTGCAGTCTGCTCGCCATGACTGTGACTTGCTCCGGGAACAATATGAGGAGGAGCAGGAGGCCAAGGGGGAGCTGCAGCGAGCCCTGTCCAAGGCCAACAGTGAAGTGGCCCAGTGGAGAACCAAATACGAGACGGACGCGATTCAGCGCACGGAGGAGCTCGAGGAGGCCAAGTATGTGAGCTTATTGTGGAAGGTCGGCATAAGCCAATAAGGGAAGCTTTAAGACATCACTGAGATTTCCAAAGGCAAAAGTTTGGTAGAAGGTTGAGGAGTTATATGAAAGGGAAACATACAAGGAAAACAGGCTATATGACAAAGAATGCAGGAGAAAGGACATGTATGGGATTCTGCAAAGTGCAGAGGGATATCAAGACTGCAGAAAAGCTGTGGTTGCCCTATCCATTGAAGTGTTCAAGGCCAGGCTGGACAGGACTTGGAGCAAACTGGTCTATTGGAAGGTGTCCCTGCCCAAGGCATGGAATTAATGGATTTTTGATGTCCCGTCCAATATAACACAATCAATTCTGTGGCTCTATGACTCTATGAAGACTTTGGGGAAATGAAATCGGAAAAAATGACTGGTAGGGATAGGCTCTGGACCACGTGCATTAGGGACAAATACTAAGTGTCTTAGTGCCCAGGTGAGTATGATAATCAATATCTACCAACATTTCCAGTTAAGAACTGTGCTTACTACTTCGCAGGAAGAAGCTTGCCCAGCGCCTGCAGGATGCAGAGGAGCATGTTGAGGCTGTCAAT